CTGAGTGATCCTCCCATGAGATGTCTGGGTAATTGAAGTGTCTCTCTTCAACTTGTGTGTCTCTTGCCCTGCAGGCTGCATCATGCCAAACTCAAAATGCTAAACTCACCAAACTGCCTCTGTAAAAAAGAAAGAGTTGGGAGACTGAAGGGCTCATTGCACAGGGGAGGCAGAAGAACTTAAGCAACACTGTTCTGTATTTCTTCAGATGCTGTGGCAGCAATGGCTGGTGCCCCTGGATCCCCGCTCAATGTGAAGTGCCATGATGTGAATAAAGACTCCCTGATCCTTTCCTGGGTGGCACCCAGTAACAGCGGAAGAAGTCCAGTCCTTGGATACTATATTGAAAGGTATGTATGGCAAGCATGTTAGAAAGATTGCAGCATCTTGGAGAAACACCAGGGATTAAATGCATGGTTTCTGCTTCATTTCAGGTGTGAGGCAGGCACAGATGATTGGGTACCATGCAATGACAAGCCTGTGAAAGCCTGCAGATGTCCTATTGGGGGCCTGGTTGAAGGAAAGACATACCAGTTCCGAGTTAAGGCTGTCAATCATGCAGGCATCAGTCATCCTTCAAAGGCCAGTGACCCAGTTACAATGAAAGACCCCAATGAGGACAAAAGAGTGATGAGTATGTATCAGAAACAGGACAATATTCTAATATTTATTCTGAGAGTCCAAGGGTATAACTCACCGTAATTTACCCAAGGTCCCCTGCTGCTGCTTTTCACTGCATCTGGCTCCTACGGCACGATGCTATGCTACATATATATTTAAGCTGTAGCAGAATTACTAGATGAATCCACTGGCCTACACTAAAACAGCCAGAGGCAGACTGACTTACACTGTGTTTGCTATTTTCTAAGCACTGAACAGAGCAAGACTGCATGGCAGAGTATCATAGATCCTCAACTACTGCAAAGTATCATAGATCCATTGAAGTCAAGAAACTGGCAGTTGCTCTAGCTGAGGATGTCTCTTGTTGTTTCACATGTCATTCCCTTACCCTGAAACACGTGATCTCTGCCTACCTGGCTATACTTGCAGTGCTTGAATTGGGAAGACAAAAGCAAGAGTGGTCAATAATTAACCTTAGTCCAAAACCTGAATCTAACCCCAAATGATGGCTTTGTTTAAGTTTCAAGGAGGTTTATGTATTTTTAATTACTTTTCAGCTTGCTCCACTTTTTTGACATAGTCTGATTTGGAAAGGGAGAAGGTCAAAATACTGCAACTTTTTCTATTTGAAAGCACATAAGGAAATTACATCAATTTTGTCTTTGCCTTTCTTCTAAACCCATGGCTTATCCTTGGTGAATAATATTGACTTTTTTAATCACTAGCCATCCTTTATGATGATGGAAAGAAGATAGAAATTTCCAAAGATGAACTGGAAGGTAATTTTAAATTTACATTTAATCTGATTTTCATAAAGAAGCACTTTTCAGAATACAGCAATGCCAAAGAGGTTAGGGAGAAAATATGTACAAGAAAATATTTTCTTACACTGCATAGAAACAGAAACAATCCAGAATACTAGGCTGGTTTATAATGAAGACATCTGATACTGTTAAACTTATGGCTATCAAGCCCACAGTTGCAGGCTAGGAAGCAGTATAAAGTTTGTTTAAAAATAAAAGAAAGATATGGATTAAATTTTCATGTGTGTCAAACTCACTTTCATAATTCCCCCTCATTTGGTGGGAATGACATGAGGTCACTCAAAATTTAGCAAATAAACAAATAGTTTGGGTAGTTCACCATTATGTTCCCAAAAGGTCAAAGACTTCTTCATGCTGAAGAGTCTTACTCAATACTGGAAAGGCATAAATGTACCTGTTTAAAAAAGACAGTTTTCCTGTTATGTTATAACTGAGTCAGTATGAAATTCTGACTTCCCATAGGAAAGATTAAAATCCCCTTGCCACCCACCAATGTCCATGCAAGTGAGATCAGAGAAGATTATGTGGCCCTCACTTGGGATGAACCCGATCCTAGAGGCAGGGAGCCACTGAGTTACTATGTGGAAAAGGTAAGGAAAAAACCAATGAAAGGGCAAGAATTGTTGCTTCTGAGACTGGCCATGGGTTATAGAACATGTCACCACTAAGAGACCTGTCAGACAGGTCAACAGTAACACAGAACAGCTGATGATGGTCTGTGTAAAATGACTTGGTAAGTCTCAATTCCTTGAGAGGGTCCTCCTTATCAAAAAGCCACCAGCACAATTGGTTCCTTTGATAATAATCTTGGCAGAAGGTGAATTATTTTTGTCTCCCTAAATGGTGTCAGTGCAGATCTAGAATGGGACACCATGAGAGGGCAGTGTGTGGGGAAGCTTTCGCAGCTGTTGCCAATACATCCACAGCGCCCTGGCTAACGTTTCCCTAGATCCACAGTTACAAATACTCAAATCCAGATCTGGTGCCTGGCCCACAAAGTTGGGTCTGATAATGAATGCAAACAGGGGAGATGAGGAGTTTTTCTTCTTCATGCCACAGCATGGCTGCAGAGCTATATCAAGGAGTTTGTAACAGCACTGTGAATGGTGTAACCCTTCCCAGGCCCATCAGGTATGAGGAGAGTGAGAGGAACTACACAGTGACAAAACTTCAGAATCCACCTCTGCCCCAGTATTCCCTTGCCCTAAAGTGTAACGGTGTTACTGCTTGAGAAGTTTCTGATTTCTCTGGATTTTAAATCACATCTTTTCCCTTCCAGTCAATCACAGGGAGCAACTGCTGGCAAATGGTTAATCTGGATATCCCCGTGGCGTCCCCAAGATTTGCAGTCTTTGATCTTGTTAAAGGAAAATCCTACTGTTTCCGTGTGAGGTCTCTTAACATATATGGTGTGAGTGAGCCGTCCCTGCCCAGTGAGCCCATATCTCCTGGAACAAAATTAGGTAATCATCAAAATAATGAGTTATACGAACAATATGGAAAAGGCAGTAACTTTAACACAAGCTGCTTTTCCTGTTCCTTGGCCCTTTATGTTAGGACACTGTACAGAGCTCACTTTGACTTCAGGAAGTCTCTCAAAGCCTTAAATCCATGTTTCGTTACTTTGCAGCTGGTCACCGCACAATGTAAATCTAACCAAGCAATAAGGCTGGAATTAAAAATAGTAAAAAAATTAAACATTTGAAACCCCAATATTCTCCTCCAGGCACACTTCTGGATCTCATTCAAGGGCTTCATATATTGTGCATTCTATAAGACAGATGATGCATATAATAGTGCCCAAAGGAATGAAATGGCTTTCTTCTACCATGGTGGGTGAAGCAATCTGTTATTAGGGCTCTAAAAGTAACAGCGAGAGGAAATGGGGTGTTTTGTTGGGGAAGTAAATTTTCAGTCTTTGTGGGCATGAGTGTTTTATTTTCCTTGTTGGCTTGAGACATCTAGAATATAAGGATACGTGTACTCAAAACCTCGTTTCTCATAAGTTGAGGAAAAGTTCAGCCATGAGGCCTTTGCATTCGTCTTTTTCCTTCTTACATTTCAGAGCTGTCCAGATATTGTCCATGATGTTACATGCTACTTCCATTTTGCAGAATGATATGTATGCCTTTTTGCCCCCAAGTTGCACATGCTTCTTTTCTGGTTTTGACAGCTGTAAAGCAAGCATAACTGTTGCAACCAGTGGACTGGTAGAAATGGTAATGCTGTGGTGATTTTGGAAATGGTAGTATTGGACACTGGTGGAAATGGAAAGAGAATGAGATCTGATGAATCCAAACACAGTCATCTTGCAGTGATGTGTTCATGACACTGTGATATGGGAAACGATGCCCTTGTTTACACTCTGATATGGGAAATGATGTTCTGGCCAAAAGGGGAACAAACATCTCAATTTACCTATGGAAGCGAGTTAGCATTCATAAATAAACCCCTTTTGTTCCACATTTTCCTTTTTAGCTCCCCTTCCACCGCCCTCTCAGGTCCTTGCCTTTAGAGACACCAAGACGTCTGTTGTTGTGCACTGGGATAAGGTGAAGGAGGAGGAGGCCTTCGGCTATTACATATATTGTCGGGAGACTGGAACAGAAGAATGGCAAACTGTCAACAATAAACCAGTGACATGTGACAAGTGAGTACAGTTGTCCTCCACTGTGAAACTGTGGTGCATCAGCTGTGATTTCTGTGCTTATGGGACGGTTGAAGTTAGAGCACAGAAATCTGCCAGGCTGACTCTCATGCACCTGCTTCTCATGTACTCTAAGCCACCTGCACACTAATCTGCATAAAATTTGTATAAAATGTAATTTATGGCTCCTTTCCACTGGCAGAACAATATAATGGGATACTGATGTGAATAATAATCTGACCACTCAGCTTAAACTCCCTGCCACTAAACACCCTTTTTTCTACAGTTGCTCTGCCGTAGAAAGACCCACTAAAATATCTTTTCTAGGTATTGACTTTTGAGAAGTGCTGAATGCCTGAGACCCCCAGTGATTTCACTGGGAATTGTCAAGGCTTAGGAGAAGTTCAGCACCTCTCAAAATCTAACCTGTATTTGCCAATTGATTGATATGGCACCATTTATATGAAGGCAGGGTAGATTTGCACCTTATAGACCAACTAAATAAAATATATCAACAGTACAACCTTTTGTGAATTCAAGTTCACTTCATCAGATGCTGAAAGGGCGGCATAAAGCAGTGTATAAAGTGGAGTCAGTGATTTATGTAATTTGTATGATTCCGTGGAGTTTAAACTCTAATGGTAAATAACAGCATTTTAAATTATAAGATATTACTTTAAGAAAATAATACACTGTTTGTTCAAGGATACATCTTGCCTGTGCTTTAAATAGATGAGAGCAAACCAATTAATCATCTCTTACAGGTTCACTGTTCCTGGACTCCAGACAGGGAAAGAGTATGAGTTTTGTGTGAAAACTGTCAGTGAAGCAGGGCTGAGTGAAAGCTCACCAAAATCTGATCCCATTATTGTCAGGCCAGCTATTGGTAAGTAGTGTACTATACACACATGCCCCCACATAGAAATAGAGCTCCTTCATAAATGTCTTTTACACACAGGTATGTCAAACCATTTACAAATAGCTACATCCAGCACCTCACTAAAGTAGAGCGGGCCTGATTCTCCACCGACTTGCATTCTTTATACGTGTATGAAGTAATTGTAGAGAGTTACACTTCTGTTGTAGTGTTACACCTTCACTGCAGTCATTTTGCACTAGAATCTGGGTCAGTTTCTTGCACTACTCTAGTCCAGGCCGCATGTATAATTACACACCCAATTTATCTGGAACCCTTGCTCCAGTCACATAGCTCCCCTTCATCATTCTCCAATATATCACATCACTGTCTTCACTCCTGTCTCCTGTGTGTCTGCCCATCAACAACTAAAATTACAGAACAAGGCACAAAAGGATCAAAAGTCTCCAAAACCCTCCTCTCAAACAATCTGGATGGAAATCAGGCCTTTAATATCCCTTTACACTGCTCAAGTGATGTAAAGGGGCTGTAGTATAAATGAAAATCGAGCTTGATATGAACATGCCTGGTGCTGATAAGTCATTCCAAGTAACTCAACTTCCGCAACTATTTTTTTGGTCTCCAACTGGATTGCAAGCTTCTACTACATTTTATATTTTCTTTTCTTTCTCTTTCTCACCATTATCACAAAGCTTGTCCATCGGCACCACGTGACTTTGCCCTATTGAGCTGCGGGAAGAATGATATGGTCATTGGGTGGAAACCCCCAAAGCGCAAAGGGGGAGGAAAGATTCTGGGCTACTTCCTGGATCAGCATGATAACTATGAGGAAGACTGGCATGAAATCAATATTAAGCCTATTCCCCAACGAACCTATAAGGTATCAGTTTCATATTCCATGCTGTGTTTCTGAGAAAGGTATTGGGAAGCTGTGTCTGTAAACAGAGGCACTACTACTTCTGCAGTCCAGACCTTTCCCTTTCCCTCTTTCCCTTCTCCAAAAATACTTCCTCATCCCACAGATTTGAGGGTCCCAGAAAGTCTGATGGTTTCTGTGTTAGATCTTGCAATGAAGCTCTGTTCAGGTCTGGCCCACAGCAAATTCTGGGGCTATTTGAAGAGTTCTGAATAACACAATATTCTTGTTATTCCTAATTCATCATAACTCAGCATCACATGTATCCTTTCTGAATTATTTTACAAGATGACTGTGAGATCTATTTTGGAATTAACAGAAAGTTCATCAAGTTCAATAAAACCACTTTAGGCAGTAAAGAGCTGGGAGCTATGGAGCTACTGCCCAAAGCACTAGGCCACACGACAGGTGAAAGATAAGCTGCGTGGAGTTAGCAGTTCCCTGTCTGCATACAGAGAAACTGGGATACTAATTGCAGGCTGTGTATTTTGGAGCAGAAATCCAGGAGCAGGGGCTTTGAGTGTGACCTTTACTAAAAACAGGAAGACATGACTTCTTGGGCACAGCACTTGCCAGAGTGGCTGACTTGAAGGATTCCTGAACAAGGAAACTTCCTGCTTCTCTTTTCTCAAGGATACAAGCCCATTTGCTTTTTTCATAAGAAAACAAGATTCCACCAAGAATGTGCCTGATTCATATCACAGAGCAGAAACAACCCTGTGAGATCTCAAATTTTGGCTAAGTGCTCAGGCCCAAGGGGCAATACTACCATTTGACAATCTCTCTCTTCTTTCCTAATACGATGCTTAAGCAGGATGATTCTAATTGATGAATTGAGTTATCTACAAAATCTCTTTGTTAATGGGTGGGAGGGTGACTTGGGAATTGTTCATAAGATCCTTGTGTACCATCATAAAAATATGGCCTTAAGGTTCAAATTACAAACACATTTCGCTATACAAGGCTCTACTAACATTCTCCCTTGGCTTCTGATCCCAAGGTGACCAACCTCGAAAAAGGACACTCCTATGAGTTCCGTGCTTGTGCAGTGAATATGGCTGGAGTTGGGAAAATGTCTCAACCTAGTGACTTATTCAAATGTGAGGAATGGACCATGCCACAGCCAGGTAAGATTAACACGTGTAAGCAACCAGGAAAATGTTCCAGAGCCCCTCCTCAAAAACATGCTACCAAGTCAGAAATGTTGGGAGCCTTCACGCTTTGGAATCCCATCTTCACAGCATGGAGAGAAGCTATTTGGGGCGTGTTCACACAGCATGCAGTGCAGTGGGGTTCTGGTTCCTGACTGCAACTCCTAGGCACTACTTCAGTAAAAGTAATTCATATAAGATCCCTGCCATACTTCTTGTAACCAGCTAGAAGCCCAGTGCTCTTGGATCCTATTTTCAAACCATGGGGAACCTTGACAGATTGTGCTAGGCTCTCTGTATAATATATCAGTACAGGGGTTATGAAATAGGTAAATGTGGTTGTTGTTATAGAATACCTGCTAAGCCATTTCTGCTAATAGGACCTCTTCTGGGGCCTGTATTCATACGTTGCCATCAACCTACCCACATTGTGCTCTCAGGCACATTACTGTGCCATTTATTTTTTAATGCTATTGTTTGACAATCTTACCTTCCTTGAAACAGGCCCCCCCTATGATGCGAGGTGCACTGAAGTGCGAGACACATCCCTGATGCTACACTGGGAAGCACCATTGTATACTGGAGCAGGTCCGATCACTGGCTATCACATAGAAGTGTGTGAAGAAGGGTCAGAAGAATGGAAGCAAATAAATAAGCAGCCAGTATCCAGCACCCACATGAGGGTTTGTATAAACACAAAGTCTCCAAGCCTTCTTTATCATTTAATGCTCTCCTTACTTATTACCTTTGTTTTCACAGGTTTCTGACTTGGAGACAGGGAAATGCTACATTTTCCAAGTACGAGCACTGAACAAAGCAGGGGTTGGTCCTCCTTCAGTTCCTTCAGATCCTGTGATGGTTAAAACCAAACCAGGTATGCAAATAAGGGTGACTATATTATGTGTCTGTTGAGTTCTGTTCAATAAAAAAAACACTAGGTAGATTGCACAGGCAGTAGCTTGAAGGGAAATGTTGGCTGTTTATCTAAGACACTTATAGGGTTCTTATTACCATCTCCAAGTGCCTTATATTCATTGAAATATTTATCCTCACAGCACCCCAGTGAGGTAGGGAAGGGCTGCTTCGCCTCTTGGGGAGATGGGGAACCGAGCCATGGAGAGGCTAGGGACTGTAACGTAGTTCTCTAGCCAATTTCTCACTCACTGCATCATCCTTCCTTTCTGAGTTCATTTTATGCCATTCACAAAAGTCTGTAATGTATTTGAGAGTGGCAGCTTCATGCACACTGCAGATGGAAGCTAGTTACAAACAGGCTTGCAGTTAGTACATGTTATCATTCTTCATAAATGTACTATTTGCAGAAGAAATAAGGTGTTTTTGTTGTACAGTCTTTATAGACATCTAATTTAGCAAGACAAAATGGGACTATAATTTAGCACTAGCATAAACCAGTCTGATTTTATTTCACTAGAGTTACAGCAAAGATGAATTTGTCTAATTTTCTTTGGGGAAAAAATATTTATCATAACAGCCCAATGATACACAAAAGAGAGGTTTGGTTTATACCTCAGGCATACCCACTTTGATTTTTAAAGGGATATTCCAAAGATAGGTTTCTTAGAAATATTATTAAGGATTTGCTTATTGCATGTTTAATTCCATGTTCTTAACAAAATACACTGACAAATACAGCCACAAGATTAAAAGATACAGAGCCAAATCCAGTTGCAAGAATTCAGAAATTGACTTGTCTGGAAAATATATGTATGTCTGCATAAAGATCCAGTCTCTGTTGCTTTGTCCCCGAGACAAAGAGAAAAGTTAAGTTGTCAGCAAAGAAGTTGTGTTGTGCTTTGCTTGGGTGAAAGACAGATTTTCTCTTCTGCAGGCATAAATGAGATTGAACTTGGCGTGGATGAAGAAGGATTCATTTACATGGCCTTTGAAACTCCTGAGATGTGTGATTCCTCTGAGTTTATTTGGTCAAAGGATTATGAGGGACCTCCAGATCCTGACCGAGTTAGAACTGAAGATCAAGACAACAAGTGAGTGGGCAATGCAACGCACTCTGGGAAAACAAGTTTTGAAATGTGGACCAGGAGACATAACCCACTAATCTGGGGAAAAAAGCTTCAGAGCAAAAGGCTTCCCAGAGAGGCTTTGGAAAACACTGTTTTCACCCTGCAATACAGATGTTCAACCCTTCCAGCAGAGGTGGATGAAAGAACCAGCTTAAAAAATGTAAAACCCTTTTTCTCCCTTCAAACCTCGGATAAAATGCAGATATACATTTTGAACAGTTGTGCAGTTAATCTGAAATGAACCCAAACTCCCAGTCTTATGAAAATTTCCAGTCCCTGTTCTCCATCAAACAACACTGTGGAAATTACACCAGAAATTAATTTGGCCATTGCTCCTATTTCTTAAGCAAGTCTGGACCATTGTCTTGACTTCCAACTGTAGCGTGGTTTATGGAGTTCAAGCAAGCCATCAGCATCAATCCATCAATGTAGTCTATTGCTAATGCTTTCAAACAATTCGGTTCCGCTATCCCAGCATTACATGTAAAGTGTTCTGCTTGCCTTCTAGTTTTACAAACTCTATCCTTCTAGCTTCAGTCTAGAACTAACCGTAAGGTGTTTTTCTTTTTCTTCCCTCAGATCTAAGCTCATACTGAAGGATCCATCAGAAAAGGATCTGGGGACATATTCAGTGGAGGTAACAGATGTGGATGATGATATCTCTGCCAGCCATACTTTAACACAAGAAGGTAAAAAATAACAATTTCAGAAATTTTCCAGTATGCCAAAATCATCTAATTCTGAATGGTCAGACAAAAGCTCCTTCTAAAACAAGAGAAGATGAAATGGTAGAATGGAATATCATTAGAAAGATCATTTCCTATTCTTTGAATGACCAGATGCAACTGTCTTTATAGGATTAGGGAAAAAAAATGAAGATTGCACTAAAGTGGAATGGAAAGAAAATTTTCTCACACTTTCTGACAGTATATGAATGTGATGCCATGGTAATTTAGTATTTCTTAAAACCTTTTCATGAATTGGTGCTGCAACATAGATAGCAACCTCTTATTTCTGTCAAATTAGGATTTGTTTTCCCAGCTTCAATTAATCCCTTAAACTATGATATGTTTCATGTTTATTGGGTTCTACTTGATCTGGATGCTCAGATGTAGTGCCCAGGGGGGTAACAGGCCTTGCTACAACTGCAAAGGTGTATGTTGAAGCCTTGTTTCAGACTCATACTGAAAGCCATTATGCAAACTGAGAAGACACTTGTGGTCAGACATGATGCTAGTCCTTATGTGCCTTTGGCTAGAGAAACTGGAATTCCTTCACCACACTAGCCCAGTGGACTTTTAGGTTCAAACTGACTTTTGACTTGACCAGAATGGGTAAGGAACTAATATAAACATAAATTGAAAAGGAGGTTTGTGGTCAATTTTGCTGGATTAATCTAAATCATATGCTGCTTTTTGCATTTCAGAACTGGACAACCTGCTGAAACTCAGCCATGAAATCAAAAACCCGTGTAAGTAGAAGTAATAGTGTTTAATGTTTTTGACCACTCTGTAATCTACAATAATGTGGAAATTCTAACCTAACTAAGTTCAATGGCAGAACTCCCATTGATTTCAACTGAATCAGAATTTCATCCTAAATCCTCTTGACCCACCACACTGCCTTTGTTTCCTAGTGATTAAGCTGATTTCTGGGTGGAACATTGATGTTCTTGAGAAAGGAGAAGTGCGGTTGTGGTTGGAGGTTGAAAAGCTGTCACCAAATGCAGAGCTACATTTAATCTTCAATGAGAACGAGCTTACAAGCACTCCGGTATGTGTTTTAAAATTCTGACATTACCCTTCTTGGCACTGGGACATAACAGCACTATATTTGAACCCAGGGTTGGAAGAGATTGTTCACTGAACCTAGCCCTGTCCAAATACTTTACCTGATACATGAGGTAGCTGAGGCACCTCTGACAATCTGCTCTAGCAGAGACTTACTCTGCAAGAGGTATTGTCTAGGAACAACCCTAACCCCTCTATGTTCACTTGACATTACAAGTGACCCTGGTGGACTACCAGATTCAGTCCTGCAAGTTCAAGTTAGCTCTGGCTAAGTATAGGCTAAGAAATACCATCTTTGCCAATTTGATAGACTTGCATTTTTTCCTTCTGTAAACCCAGCAAAGCTGTCAGGTTTCCAGTTTCCACACCAGCTCTTTGAATTGGATAGATACAAATCTTCAAGCTTTTGAGAGTAGATGCATGTGATCTATTTCTAAATTTGTGATACTGAAAATAACATTGTATCATGTGTTGCAAAGTACTCCTACATTCCTGTATATTTTAAAGAAAATATTAACTCCTTCTTGGCCTTCCCATCTCAGAACCTAATACCATATGGTTTTTAAAAGTGTATAAGACTGGACTGCAAGATGGGGGGGGAGGAGGGAGAAGGAATTAGGTATTTCCAAATTAAATAAAGAGAAACAAAACTATCTGCCTCTGGTTTAAGTGTTAACTAACAATATCAAAATGGAGATACTGTGATAAGTTAGATCCAAAGCATTTAAAAGGCTATTATTACATTGTTTTTTCTAGAGACAGAAGGTATATAGGAAAGTTATATAAGGCTTTATCTACTACAGTAATGCTTTTTCTCACATGATTATGTGGTAATGCATGATTAAGCAGTGAACATAATGATAATGGTAAGTATTTGCTCACAGTAAACATGTTGCTAATATTTTAAAATTTCTGATGAATTTAAGGGTGTACATTTATGTGCATTCTTCTTTACCGTCCAAGTCCCCAGAGTCTGGAATAGACTCCCCCAGAAGTGGTGCAAGCACCTACTCTGGACACCTTTAAAACCCACTTGGATGCTTATCTTGCTGGGATCACTTGACCCCAGGAGACTTCCTGCCCTTGAGCAGGGGGCTGGACCCAATGATCTTGCGAGGTCCCTTCCAGCCCTAACGTCTGTGAAATCTATGAATCTATGAAATAACACACTAGTGACTGGACAGACTCCAAGGGCAGAAATGTCACCTGGACTGCCACCCAGATGTATGGTTAATTGTAGTATATGGTTTCTACTTATGTAAAAATCCATGCAGACACATAGAGACTTGGTGAACTGAAAGGTCTCTATTATACAGTCAGGACAACTCCATCATTACATGCGAGACACAATGGAAAGTTTCTCTTAATTAAGCTGTTTTCCAGGGAATTACTTTGTCATGAGCAAGTTTTATATATAACCTGCAAACCATTAAATAAGTTTATACAGATTTATATTTTATGTTGGAAAAAAAAAACTATTTAACAACATTTATTATGGGGCCAAACTTTGGACCATGAATACACCAGGTTAAGTAAACAATATGGAAAGAGAGGGAGTCTGTGTTATAGCTCTGACTCTGTTATAGCTACCTGACAGTGGTGATATACAGTGGAGTCCCAGTCCTAGGATTTGGCCCTTAGATTGTTTCCCTATTGAAAATATGTCTACTTTACCATGAGTACTTTGTCTTACATAGACACATAAGATAAACTTTGACAGAGCTAATGGCCTCATAGAACTGATAATCCAGAACTTCTGTGAAGATGACAAAGGAACATACACAGCCCAACTACAAGATGGAAAAGCGAAGAATCAGTTCACCCTAGCTCTTGTTGATGACAGTAAGTAGAGATTCATGCTCTGTGTGCTGGTCAAGAAAACATTTTTAGCTCTTTGGAAATAGAAATTTTGCTACTTGCTAATTTAAATTCTTCCCCCCCCCCAAAATGTGTAGCCTTTATTTGTCAGTTCTTTATACCTGAGTATTTCTAACACACATCCTTTGAAATATTTCAAGTTTGTTGACTCTGCCCTGCATTCCTTGCCCATCCAAAATACATATTTAATCATTAGAAATGCTAACTGCATAAAAAGTGAAGCTTCAAAGCCTCTTTACTGTACTTTGAACTTTTGAAAATAAATATTACATGGGGAACACCTAATACAATGAAAGGGTTGTAAGACTGGCATTGTCAAGGTTTCTATACTGAATAACAACGCTTAACTGAGATAACCGAGACATTTTTTAATCACGTATACACTGTATGGCAATCTCAGACTAGCAGCCCTCCTGATCAGGAATGTATGCTATGCTACATGGACAGGAGGCTTAAAAGTAGTTTAGTGCACTTTGGTTGACTCTGTTCCATTACTGTTTTTGCAGCTTTTGATAAAGTAGCAGAAGAGGCTGCTGCTAAGCGGAGAAAATGGAAGAAAAAGCAAGGTAAGATGGTCCCAGGGCCTCTGCCTTTGGCAGGCCTGGTAATAGCTTAATAGCAAAAGGTGAAACAAGCATATTTTACCAACTCCCCAAAATTTAAATGAAAAGTCAATCGTTCTCTTCTGTATAGTCTTATATAAATTGGTTTCAGTCTCAAGATGGGGCGTCTTATTTAGGTTACTGTTTGCAGGCTATTTAAAATCAAACCAAACTAAAGTTTAAAGTATTTCAATAGTTCAGGGCCATGCTGCCAGCTTTGCCTAGTAGAGGCTCCCTGAACTAGAGCCCGACCTCTGAACACCCTTGAATCTTTTGAAAAGTTCAATCAAAATGTTGTGAATTACGCTCTTAAAGCCATGTGCAGTTCGCTCTAGACTGGGGCAATGATCACGCAGAGCAAGTATTCAAAGTCAGATACAGAATCTTTATTCACTGCAGTGAGGTGCCTCCAAGGACGGACCCCACCTACCAGATATAATACTATTTTATACTTTGTTAATACGTCAGCATTAGTTCATGATTAGCTTGTGCTCGTAAAAATACTCAATCATCTATTAACTAAATCACTATTCTATCCAATCAAGCGGCACTGTGAGTGTGAACACCGAAGTTTAACTCTTGTGACTACATGCCCCATATATTTTTGCCAAGATGAATCTTATCTTACAAAAACAATCCTTGTACCACCTCTAAGGTTCTTCTGTTGACGAGACTCCTCTGTTGACCAAATTCAGCTCATTTCATATCTATCAGTAACCCTTACACGGTACCCCTCTTCCTCCAGCCATCTCGTAAGTGCTGTGTCTGCTTTAATGAAATGGAGGCGAAAGGACAAGGAAATGGCCTCACTAGACCATGGGCAGTTTTTCCTTTTCACCGCATTCAAACTGACTATGCAGACATGCCAAAGAGCGCGGGATACCAACACCTTCTAGTTATTGTTGACCTACTCTCAGGTTGGCCGGAAGCAACTACTACTAGAAAAGGAGATGCTTGCTCAGTTGTGAAGTTTCTCATGGAAGATAATATACCACGCTTCGAAGTACCAGAAGTAATCGATTCTGATCGAGGGTCACACTTTACTGCAAAGATTTTGGAAGAAGTGTATCGATGCTTAGGAGTTGCTAGGCAACTCCACACCCCATATCATCCACAATCAGCTAGACAAGTGGAACAGATGAATCGAAGTCTTAAAACTATGATAGCTAAGTATTGCAAAGAAACTAGACTTAAGTGGCCAGAAGTACTGCCAATAGTACTGTGGCACATTAGGCGTACCCCAAGGATGCCCCTAAGTTTGTCCCCGTTTAAAATTCTTTTTGGTAGACCTGCTTTGGTCCCAGGAACGTATGTTCCTGCACATGCCAGTCTCTTAGATAGAGATGAAATGTTGTCTAGGTTTGTTCTTAGATTACAAAAGGAGTTTAAAGAGAATAATACTCAGGCGCAACTTTTCCAGGCTCCACCTTTGAGTTTACAGATACATGAATACAGACTGGGTGACTAGGTACTAGTTAAAAAGATACCACGAACTTCCCCTTTGAAACCTCAGTGGGAGGGGCGCTATCAAGTTCCGTTATGTACTTATTCTGCTTTAAAGCTTGCAGGCAAAACCAGCTAAATACACCATAGCCACATGAGGAGGGCACCGAGCCCAGACCCAATATCTAAGCCTGAGCGAGGATCAACTATCTACTGCATGCATAACTCTACAGACCCCTGAACTGTTGAGAGAAATTACTGAAATCTCAGATCTCCGCAAGGACTTGTTGTCTTCATTATAATAGTAATTGTTCTAACTGTGGTAATTGTGTGTTGGCAGCCAGGATACCGTGGCATATTAGAGCAATCATGAGAAAGTCTACATCCTTGGTGCTGTTAGTCTGTGCCTTACACCTGGGAATGTCTTTACCAATATACCCTCCCCCGTTAAACAGCAGTGTGAGATTGCAACCCGAGGAGAATTATTATCACTGATTCATTCAGAGTTTCACTCATGCTTATAATCTTTCACAGTGTTGGATTTGTTCTCAAATTCCATTGACACAAGCACATGGGTTTCCCCTTCTAGGATTAGGAATCAATATACAAAGCAAAATGCATATTTTAGGGCTCAGATCCAACTACATTTCCATGTGGTGACCAGAATATCTGGGAAAGTTTATTGAAGGGAAAAGCACCTTCTCCTCTCTCTCTCTCCCACACTTTGACTGATGAATAAGGAAGTTTATAAAAAAAATACACCTTTCAGGGAAAAGAGTAAAATGATTAAATTGGAAAGATCAATTTGCCTTCTGACATGGGTCAGTAATGATGCAGTTAGTGCATATCAGGGGAGCAGACTGGAAGGTGTGTGGGTTAACTATTTTTTGCAATCCATCTGCAGAGTATTTATAACCTCTCAATATTGACTTGCTATGCAACAGTTACTAAATCAAATAAGCTGATGGACAGTGACCTACCAGAATTTAAAAAAAACAAATGTCAGTCTCAGGAAATAAAAAAAATATAGAATATGTAACAGCGCCTTCTGCAGTTTGATCAGTGCCTGTCGTTATTAGAAGCCGCTCATTGCTGTAGCTTACCGTGAGGTGGCGCCATGATCATGTCTTATATGAAAATCTGAGTTACAAGAATGAATAGCAAGACTTTGTTCTCTTGTAGGGCCTCATTTTATAGAGAATTTGCAATGGAAGGTTACTGAGGACTGTGAAGTGCTACTTACTTGCAAGGTACGTAGTGACATACAGGTAATGCTGCATACAGGTGCATGCATCTATAAATACTCCCACTGTGTACTTGAAGGGGCCTAAGTAGGTAACATCCAATCCAACAAATGGATAGATGCTTACAGATGAAAGGCAAAAGACAGAACATCCTGGCCAGGAATCCTAACAGTTCTAAAAACAAGGGAAGAAGCTTCACCAAGTAGAGGGGCAACCCCTTAGGAAAGCTGATATAAAAAAAGATATCCTGGCATTCAGATAAATCAATATTCTGATTTCTACACTTTTATTTCAAACAGGCAGCAAACTTGAGAAAGGACACCAGCTTTGAATGGTTCTTCAATAAAAAATCACGATCAGGTGGTCAGTTTGACCCAGAGACTGGGACTGGAGTTCTTTGGATAAAAAAGGTAAAGAAAACAGTGCAACTCAAGATCTTTTAAGTGATATCACTTAAATATGCTATTTGTTTTGGGCAGCACACATAATGTGCAAAGCAGTGTACAAATATAGAAGACAGAATGGAACAAGAACTAATGTCTCAAAGTTAAAGCCAAAAATTGAAACTACAAAATGTGCTGTCTTCTCCAAGTCTTCCTATCAAGACTGTATCCCTTTCTGGAAGATCTGATATAGTCAAACACAAGTTGTCGGGTTTAGTACCAAAATAACTGAAAGAAATATGATGATCTGTGTACACACGATGTCAGGCCAATGATCTAGTAATCCCTTTTGGCCTGAAAATCTATAGATCCTTGCCCCAAGAAGCGTTAGCAGATGAGTAAAGAGGACTAAGCGGTGAAGTGAATTAAGGAACTAGACTTTCCTTTCTGCAGTGCTAGGTTTGTTCTCAGTTTTTCATGTTAATTTTCAACAAACTTCCCATGTCAAAACCACAAGACAGACCATGTGAGTGGAATCTCTGCTAAGGTGAGATCACAATAGGAACAACAAAGATATCTCAGGTTGGGATAGATGTGTATGGACAAAGTTATATAGGAAAAGCTTACAGAGGACTAGTTTCATTGGCATTTAATTCTAACTCTTTCAATTTTTTAAATATTTTGCTAGATTACCAAAGCAGATGAGGGAATATACAGAGCAGTTGTTTCTGATGACCGGGGAGAAGATGCTACTGACCTTAATCTCACTAAAGAAAGTAAGATAATTTTACACTAGTAGGCAATATTTTACACACTTTTATTTGTGAGCAGGCTTTTGATGTGGATTTTAAAATATACTATCTTTTTTTTATTGCATGTGCTGTTTTAGTAGCTTTTTTGTGTTTCTCAAGGAGACACGGTCTGCATAAAAAGATCACTAGCAAAGTCTGAATTTTCTTCTTTTTCCCTTACCTGGAAAAAGGAAGCACTGTTAAAATATATTGCTGCGTGCTGTAAATTTCAAGGATAAGAAGCATTTAAGATGGCATTAGGGTCCAAAACTGGACTGAGTACAAACAACCTCTTTCTTTTTACCATGAACCTGTTAAAAGTCCAGTGACATCAACAGGAGTCTTCAACCAGCTTTAGATCAGAACACGTTTACATCCTATATGTATCTATGTCATAATTCATTTATTAACTGAGAAACTCAAGTTTCTACTCCTGCTAGCACTGCCAATCCTGCAAAACAACAGACGAGTAAATTGGCTCTGCTTTCTATTTTACATCCCCAAGAAATATATCAGCTGAATTCTGAGTGCAGAATCTTTATTAACAGTGACATCAAATTTGTAAACTCCTACTTTCATTTGTCATATTATAGATTTGTTCTAGAATTCAGATAACAAGTAAGTATAGAATCCCTGCTCTTGTAATATCATGTTCACATAGTTATTATTCAGACTATGACCATGTTATAAAGCTTCTCATACAACAAGGAACAGGAGTGAAACTCAAAGGTATTCCCAGTCCTCTCTCAGCAGGAATCAGTTGGCTCTGTTTCCCAGTTTTACATTCAACCAAGTTATCTAGCATCTGGCATTTAAACCTGATACATAAATAGGTATGCCATGAAATGAATTGTTGCATACACTGAATGTTAAGGAAGCAGGTTTTAAAGCTGTAAAAATTCTGTAGGTGAATCAGATGTACTTTGCTAGTGAATTTATGGCTACTTCAAGCATCTTGCTATGTATTTTTAGGGTTTGAAGATCTTCTCAAAGAGCTATGCAGAATCAGCGGTAAGTCTAGTTCTTCTCATCTTTTATTGTAATAATAGTACTTAGTAGAAAAGTGCCCTGCTTCTACTAACAGACCAGGGCACTGCTCTACTAATGGGGAAACTGAAGTAGAGAATGAGATTACATGTGAGAGAAACACTTGGTTCAGACAGGGATTCAAGAGTTCTCCTATGTTCAGACTGACAGGACAATCCTTTCTCTCTAATAAACTTCCTCTGTGCTGTAAAGGTTCTCAATGTGGAAGTAAAGTGAAAGGGAGCAGAAGGCATTTAAAGACTGTTGGAGTTAGAGGAACATGGGGATTGAAGTAGGGAGAGTCAACAGTAGGCAGCTAAGAAGTGAGAGGAGAGGGGAAAGAACTGGGAGGGTGGCAGGGGTCCTGCGGTTTGTAAAAGAGAGGAAATGAAATAGGAGTTAAATATACTCTGCTCTTGTCCTTCACCTTAGAAACTGGACTGGAAAGGATACATGATCCATTTAACGCATGCCATAAGCTGTTCTTTCTATTCAGATACACATGCAGCTGTTACATTCCAACATCAAAGTGAACAGAAACTAAAGTTTCTATGGCCTTCCCTACTGCAGGGAACTGCTGCTGACTACAAATGTGCATCTAACCTGGTGCTGCATAGACTACACCAAGCCCTATTCATACACCATGGTTAAATCCTACTCGGGTCTAGTGGTAAAGCTGTTATGCTACTCCCATCATTGCTAGCAGCAGGGCTACAGTAGGGATGGGAAGGTTTGAGAGACAGCCTTGGAACTGGTACTTGAGAACCAGACCTCTAGAGCAGATACTGGTGTCTCCACAAGCTGCTGAGGAAAAGTCCTAAGATCTTCAGGTGTTAGAATGCCAGAGTGCTCTCAGCTGGCCATGTTCTCCAATATGGGCAAAACATTAATGATTCTTTAAAAAAACCCCAACAAATTAGGAGCATGTATATAGACTCTTTAGTCACCTTGCTCAATCTCTGTCTTGTAATTCCCTAATTAGCCCTCTCTGCAGTACACCAACCGGTTGAGTAAAAGACTGCCCTCAGCAGCAGCAAGCCTGTCTTTGTTCCATTGCTTAGGAAACTGAGGAAAAGTTTAATTAATGCAAAAAAAAAAAACTGGGCAAGCTGGTGGGAGGATTGGCAGGAAGCTTAGGAAGTTGGGTAGGGTTTGCTCTGGCCCTGCACTGGATGATGTCTCACCTGTGGAACAACAGCCTGGATAACCAAATCATGTTTTGTGTTACAGCAGAGAAAAGGCGGCCCCACACGGTTAACACTGCCATCC